CTAGTATTAAAATCATTTTCCAACATAAATTTGTCTGGGACATTTGTACCCAAGCAAAACATTGCACTGTTCATCAACGAAGTTTTATTGACATGCCGCAACAAAATGGAGTTGTCAAAAGAAAACATCAACATCTCTTGGATGTTGATTGTGCATTGAGATTTCAAGCTCGTCTACATGGCATTCGGGAGAGAACGCAATCATTACCAATGCATATTCAATTATATATTTAACTCTCCACATCATTAATTGCTAGTAAATCTCCTCGTGATGAAATGTTGTTCAAAAAATCACCAGCATATCCCAATCTTAGTAACTTTAGATGTCTTACTTTTGTTTATAATGCTCGTATAAAGCATATGTTTGGTTGGCATGTCAAATTTGGTATTCCTTTGATCAATGGTCAATAGAGATACCACACACACACATATATATGACATAACCACTTGCACCATTTATGTGTCGTGATGTTATTTCCAATGAGAGTATTTTTCCTTCTTGGTATGTATCTTCACCAAGCACTTCTACATGTGTCGTCCCACTACCAATTGATACTCACTCCAAATTTGATTTAAACCCCAATTTTTAAGGGCATCTTCAACCCATCTCATTGCACCAAAATTCATCGAATTGCACATCTCCAACCCGTTGCACCATTTTGGTGCATTAAATACCTTTCTCCCATTCTTTTCCACTTTGCACAAAATTTTGTTTAAGGGTATTTGTGTCCATTTTTGTTATACATTTTTGTTATACAATAAATTATTATTATTATTATTATTATTATTATTATTATTATGCGGATTTGTAATTTATTTTAATCATGTAATCAATGATAATTAAGGAATGAATTAAAAATAAAGTACTTCAAAAGTTTTGAAATGCAATAAATATGATCGCTTTCAAGAATTCATTGCTCATCATAGACAATCAAAGATAAAGAGGCTCACATTGCACTTCGAAATGTATTAATTGATCATCTGTAGGATGAATATATGAATTTCGAGAATTAAATTACAACACTAGTTCGATTTCGCAATATCATGATGTCGGGATTCGAAACGCATTGCACTATTTTTCAATAAAATGATTTAATATTTTCTTAGTTGTTGTGTTTTTATTAATTGTACTACATTATTTAAAATTTATTAATGAATTCAATAATTTTGTTAATTTGACGTAATTATTTATTTAGTAATCTATGTAGTTGTAAAATAAATAATATTTCAAATAAATAACTTGTTAAGAATGACGAAAATGAAGAAAATGATTAAACAATGTTCATTTGGTGCAACTTTTATTGGAATGAGTTGGAGATGATTTTCATCAGTTTGATACAAGATTTGGTGTAAAACTTCTCTCAAACTTTGATGCAGGGTTGGAAATTGCCTAATAACCTATTTTCAGTAACTTAAATGGCATACATTGCCTAATTTCCCAATCTAAAGGCCAAGCCCAGAGTGGTGCAATTGCCCCCATTGGCCTATTACCGGTCATCACCCTTGACTTACACTCAATAAGCAAACCATTAAATTATTTTCTATGAAGTAGTTTGACTTTTGAAGAACTGTTTAAACAAATATATTGAATGTATTATAACAAGCATTGATTAACTTCCTAAGTATTCTCGTGTGTTCTTTTTATACGTTACAAATGAAATTCAACTTTGGAATATCCAAATGGACGCATACATCTATAAATACTACTCTCTTGAAATCCTTCTTTATTAGCATTTGTCTTGTCTCTCTCTCTTTGTTCATTATTAATAACCAATGATGGAATTTGGTGAGTTTTGGTCAAGTAATGGTCAAAACACTTCAATGGCTTCGTATCCGCCAACATTGAGTGAGATTCATGTGTTGCTAGTGGATCATGATTCTTGTTTTTTGATTTCTACCGCAAAAATGTTAGAGCTATGTTCATACAAAGGTAGATCTATTATGAATTGATTAAACACAATATCAAGAAAAGAAAATGTGCTTTTCTATGTTTCCTTACATATATGTGGTTTATGTTGATATAAATTTGGTTGATTAAACTTCCATTTTCTTCATTTTGAATTATTCTTTTTTCATACAACTTTGTTGAAGGTTTCATATTCATTGCAATTTATTTATCCATTCTAATGAGGTTCTCATTAGAACTATTCAATCAATATAGCAAATTATTCATACTTGCAAAGTTGTGTAAGCTTGAGTAGAGGATACTAGCAAAGTTCTGATAGCATTATCGCAGAAAGTATATGTCATTGGAGATTTTATCTCTTGGAAATAATTTTTTTTATCATGGGGTTTGAATAATTATTTAAAAATTTAAATTTCGCGCTTATTTTACTTTAATATAGCCAGGCATAAAATTTATTTTTACCATTGTACATCAAAATATGATACCATACATAATAACCTTACCTTTTGTTACTTTCTTTATTTTCCTTGACTAATTAGTTATTCTAAATGGATTTTTTTCAGTTTCATATGTTGAACTTGCGTCGACTGCTTTATCAATGCTCTCAAGTGGACAGTCACATTTTGATCTTGTCATGGCAAATATCAACTCTCCTGACTTACATGGATACAAACTTCTTGAACAAGCAGTTAACATGGACATACCCATCATTTGTAAGTATTTCTCACATTAGTATCAATTTCTTGTTTATTTCTTTTACATAAAATCTAGTAGTTGAATATCAGTTCTAATTTTTAATAAATCTAAAAGTATTTCATATATTGTTTACCATCTGAATTTTGCATTTTATTCAGTGATGTCAGTTGATGACGATGAATTCCTAGCAATGGGAGCTCTCAAAAATGGAGCTTTCCTGTCTATCAAGAAACCGTTTACTGTGGACATGTTAAAGTGCCTTTGGCAACATGTACTAAGAGAGAAAATGAAACTTTACAGAAATAAGGGAATAAATATGGGAATGGATGCTGCTAACCATCATATCGTGAAAGGGTTTGAATTTATTGGACGAGTTGAGGAGGGAAACAACATGCAGAACAACAATTACACTCGAAAGAAGAAAATACGTGGACAAAACGGTTCGACTTGGGCGGACGAAGAATGTGAATCAGAAAAGCAAATAATCAACAATGGGGTTAAGAGAAAAGTTTGCACTGAGTGGACTCAAGGTCTTCATGAAAAATTTATGGATGCTGTTGGACAGCTTGGTGAAGGAAGTATATTTTTTGTTCCCTTAATACCTTTTATAATTAAAATATATTATGTAAATTTGCATCCCCTATAATTTATATATCTCTATTAAAATGTGTTTTTCATGAGTGTATGCTTCAAAATATATAAGCAAGTATTTTCCTAAAATAGATGACATGTCTTCTGTTCGAAAATAGGGTGTTTTCCTAAAGAGATTCTGGAGGTTATGGATGTGCCTGGCCTGACAAGAACACAAGTAGCAAGTCATCTTCAGGTTAGTTTTCTAGTTTAATAAATTATTAATATATCGTACACAACATATTTAATGATTTATTATGCAATGTTGGATAGCATCGCAAAAGATTTAAAAAAGGCTTGTGAGTACACGTGTTGGTTGTTTACGTATTAGTCGGCCTATAATTCGATCCTGGATCCGTCCCTACCCTATCTTATACCCTTTCGGGTTTTCTTTCATGCAGAAATGCCGGAACAACAATTGGCGAGCTCCTGAAGAACGAAAATCTCAACAAAACAATGCTCCTGCAGACTCTACAAACATTGATGGTTTGGGCCACAAAGAGCCAAGAAGATTTGGGTCAATGCCTCAATTAAGCAAGAACACTTCGTTGATTAAAGAGCATCGTGAAACAGGTCAAAGTTCTGATATCTATACTGCAAATGAAAACCCAAATGACGATAGATCAGGACTCGAAAATATAAATATTGCACCAATCATAAACTCCCAACAACTATATCATGAGAACTTTCTGTCTGGTGCCTCAAATTCTTCTTCAAACCCTAGATATCCATCCGATGATTTCTTTAGTTTTCCAGACACGGATTGTCAGACTCAGAATTTTTCTGGTACACTACAAGGAGGTGGAATGATAATGAATCAAAAAACTTGCCAGAAAGCTCTTCGTTTTGACCAAGTTTATCATGAACAGGTACCGTATGGTCCCTAATTCCTTGTTAACACTCTTAATTTTTTTGGTATGTTTAATATAATAAAAAAGAAGGGAACAAAAACTAAAACTTGTCAATTATACTTTCAGTCCCATCAGAATTCAGCAGTGCCAAGTGTGGAAACCAGGAGCCATATGAGTTCAGAGACGTCAAGCTTTGCAAGCGACTCTTCAGAAACCAGAGGAAAATAAATTGGATAATTCTCGAGTCCAGTATTATTGAATAAAGTATGCACATGCAGTGACATTTTGCATAAAGCGATATATCAAACCAGCTATGTTTATTTATTTATTTATTTCCGGGTACAAGAACATCAAACTGTATAATACCCATGAAATAGTAACATGCAGGATGCTACATATTTGGGTTTTGTCTGTTTTTACTGTTTCTGTTGAACATTTTAATAATTTATTTATTATTTTATATAAATAAGAAATTGCACTATATGTCAATTTTTGGTTTTACATTTACAAAAATGTCATTTTTTTTTTAGTCTTTTCAAGACTCTCAATTTTGGACATTTTTGCCCATTTGTATAATTTAAATACCATACATGTATAGTATTAATAGAGATTTGACTATATTTAAAATTTGTACAAAGGTGTCAGTAATATAGTACATTTGGATTATTAAAAAAAAAAAAAGAGAAAACCAAGAGAAAGATGAAATGAACGAAAATTATTGAAATCATTCCTCTCCCCATCCCCCTTTATTTCGAATTAACCTAATCTTACCAGAAGCCTAGATGGAAGAAGCTGTGGCGCTGCAAACTAAAAGCCGGAAGGTCTGACCGTGAGAGAGAAAATCGACACCGTGACTCAAGTTACTCAACCTCCGTCCTTCAACAGCTGCAAAATACATTGGCTCCGACGTAGCAGTCCGGCAGGTACGGCCATGTATAAGAGTAGTGGGATCTTGGAAGCTTGTATGAGAGTTAATTCACGTTAGAATGGAGGAAAAAACTTGCGTTGTAAAAGTACAAGCCAATTCGGTCTCTATGCCAAGTGAGGGTGCTGTAGTTGCTTTTTTTTTTTTTTAGGGCAGAGAGGGTTAATACAATTTTCATGTCTTCCTTCTATCCTGTTATTATAAATGAAACTCCATTTGATAAGACTATGGTACCAAGGAGACTCTGCCTGAAAAATACTTGTTTGAAAACCTGTTACAGGTGCGTGTTTCAATTTTTAATGAAGTAATTGTTGTCTAATGGTTTTCAATTTGATCTAATGTATGTTTACTGATAAAATTCATTGATAACTTTGAATTTCTAGTTTATACTCTCTATTCCTTGTTTGGGTGAAAATGGCTTAAGATTTGATGGAATTGTTTTATTGGACTTTGGAGAGGGATTATTCTGGTTCTGGGCACTCCAAACAGTTTTGAAATGCATTGGTAGTTTTAATTCTTGTCCGTTTTAATTCAATACTACATACTGAACATAACCCAAGTTTACGTGAACGATGGATATCAGAAAATGAATCTCTTTAAAAGTTGATAAAAACTTCTGTGTGGTTTCTTATTACGTTCGACCACTTCTTTCCTCGGTGTCTTTCTTTTCATTAAACTGCTGTTGGTTTGTACATTTGTACTTTTACATGTAGGCATGTTGTGTAGAATTTTTTTTCCCCAAAATCCAAATGTAGTAAGCTTTAACTTGTTCGTCGTTTGTGCCGGCGTTAACTTGCAATTTTGGAGGGTTGAAACCAGGGGAGGATCATGTGATTCTGTCTAACTATGATATAGAAGAACATAATAAATAATGACAAATATATATTCCTTTAGTATGTTCAGCTCTATATTTCCTTCAATTATGCCATTTACTATTTGTTTGAGTTGTTTAACTTCATAGTTTTCATTATGCATACGTTTCAATTCGCTATTATGTATCTCCACTTTTAACTCATACCCCATTTCTACATTTATATGTAATTCCATTTTCTAGATATGTTACTTCATTCTATTCATTTAACAACATTTAAGCACTTATTTTCATTCATTTCAAATGTAGATAATATTGACTACCCGCCCATCAAAATATGCACCCCACTATCTTCCACTAGTCCAAAAAAGAAAGAAAGAAATAAATAAATAAATAAAGCAACATAAATGAGGGATTTTCTTGAAGTGTCAACAGGATTAATTTCACAGACATATAGTAAAAGCAAAAGCTTGAATACACCCTAGTAAGTCAAGTTGCTCATCTCTATGCTTATTGCCTTGCCGACAAAATATTGAATTGAATGTTTTCGCCTAGTTGTCTAAGTTGTTTCGTTGAAACGTTGTTATTGCCTTGCCGGCATCATGAATTATTTTTGTTGTCTTGTCGGCACAATGATTGTTGTTATTGCTTTGCCGGCATCATGAATTATTTTCGTTGCCTTATTGCCTTACTAAATTATAAAGTGAGAAAATGAACTATCATGTAAAGCAAGAGTGAGAATGAAACCATAGTGACTTCGCAAATAGACCTCACCGTCCCTTGATTGGTTATATACAGCCTAAACATTTTTTTTTCAAATTTACAGTTAAGTTGAAAGGTTAATGGATAACACAAAGTAAGTTCATACTCTGGGCTCTATGTTGAGTCTGCATCAAGGACCTTTATTGAAAAAGCAAAAAGCGCAATTCTTATATTATCAAGGTGATAGTAAATTTATGATAACTCTGAGGGACTTCTTAATAAGATAGAGTCAAGTAAAGATATATTGTCAAGTGCCTTTTTTGTTGAATTTTTTAATTATTGGCAATGGCTTTTGTTGATTTTATTTTTATGTGAAATTTTTTTGTGTTCAGATTTTAATGGCATTTGTCACAATAGAATATCTCTGTTAAAATTTCATAATCTGATTCATAGGTTTTTGTGTCTTTTAGTCTTGAATGTCCCTTTGTTTTCTTATTTTGGAAAAAACAGGTTTTCAACATAGAAGGGTCCTTGGATTATTAAATTTGGCAACTTGTTTAAAATTTTACTCTATAACTAACATTTGAAGTTTGTTACATACTCAGATGATGATGTTTTAATTTGATTGTGTTTGCTATCAAGGAAATCATATGCCCATCCTAAAATCCAATTCTTATTATTTTCCTCTGTTATCAGTAAGTTGTCTTCATATAAAATACTATGTTGGTTAATTCATAAATTCTGGTAGTTGCACCTTGTTTATTAGTGTTCCATTATACTAGACATTGAAGGCTCTATAAACTTGTGAACGGGAAATGAATTGTGATAGATAGAATTCCTTATAGTGATTTACTTGTAGAATGTGTATGACTTGGTTAGTCTTCAATATTTTTGGGCTCATAGATCTCAAAGCTTCTGGCACAGATTGTGGATGAAATACCTTAACACTTATTATTTATGTTTTCCCCTATGTATAAGTAATGTTTCTAAGAAACTGACTTTGTTCACCATTATATGCAAACTAAAACAGCTAACATGAAGACTGGTACAATTCTAAATGGAAAGTCAATTGCGAACAGTATTAAATCTAGAATAGCAAGTGAAATTTGTGCAATCAATAAGCAATCAAGAAAACTAATAGAAGACCTAGGAATCACCTGAACGACATCATGAATTATTTTTGTTGTTATTGTCTTGCCGGCATCATGAATTATTTTTGTTGCCTTGTCGGCACTTTGATTATTGTTATTGCCTTGCAGGCATCATGAATTATTTGTGTTGCCTTGTCGGCACTTTGATTGTTGTTATTGCCTTGTCAGTATCATGAATTATTTTTGTTGCCTTGCTTGCTTACTAAATTATATACATAAATGTCAAAATTACATTATTGACAGTTCACTTCAGTACAGGAATAGTTATAGCAGCGAACTGTCGGGAACGACAGTTCACCTCAGTAATTCTCGACAGATCGAAAAATATCAACAGATGAACTGTCGAGACCGGCAGCTGAGCTCAGTTTTTCTCAACAATTGACAGTTGCACATGCGGAAAGTTGATTTTGTCCGAGCAAAATATATGCATTTTCCATTAACATGTTCTATTTATTGTACACCATAATTCTGTCATTTGTTTTTGTGCATTTATAATATATTGTTTCTGTGTTATGAATTCCGTACTATTGATGATGTTCGTTTTATTTCTTTAAATGATGGGGAAGTACTTTGTTGTTAGATCTTGGCATCAACATGTACCACATATCACGATCTGACATTTTTTATACACTGCAGGGAGTATGGATTTTAACTATCTGGTTTCGGAAGACGCAAGGTTGTCTGTACGGATTTCCCAATGTAGCAACCTAAAGTACATGTCGAAGGTGTTGGGATAGATGTCGAGACACTTTCATTCCTCGATGACCTCAACATATTTTTTGCATACCCTTGGGGTAGAGTAGGATACTATCGTCCCATTAAGGGATTTCGAGGTAGTTGGACTAGGAAATTTTGGGATGCAAAGAGGAG